GGTTCGTCGGTTAAGATCCCGGTTCGCCTAAGATCCCGCATTTCCTTGCTCCCGAGCACCGGGATCTTAGGCGGAGACTACTGTATTAATGATCTAAATTGTGTCGCTGGGGGCATAAAAACACTTTCATTCAGATTTTTTAAAAGGAAAACAACACCTGTGAAAAGTTCTGTCCACTGCAGCATCAACCGGTTCTTACACTTAAATACAACACAGTTTGAAGGTATTTTTACTAATTGACTTGCCTAATCTGGGAATAAAACCTTCTGTTTTTTATCTAGATTTCATTGCGTGATCGCAGCGCAGGCAGACCACAGTTCCGCTGCGAGAGAGGGCTCTTATCAGGCGTGCGATGCCGCCCACAGAGCATCCTCCATTACTGTAAACTCCTTGATAGTGAATGATATCCCGCACAGTCTAGTACGCACGTAGCAAACGTGCACATAGCGAAAAGTGCACACAGCGAACACGCACATAGCGAAGTGTACACAAAGCAAAATGTGCATAATATATAGCGAAATATGCACACAGCGAACACGCACATTGCGAAGTGTACACATAGCAAAATGTGTACAGAGCGAAATGTGCTCAGCGAAACGCACACGGCGAAACGTGCGCACAGCGAACTCGCACATAGCGAACAGATTTTCAGGCCCCAAATTTTTAAATGATAGCCTACATAATACATGTCGTATCGGCCTATTCTATTCTCCTTTTTTTTTCTTTTTTGTTACTCTATAGTAACACCTCTGATCTGCGACACCTATATATTATAACCTAAGCTTTTCTTGTGTTACAATTCAACAAGTGCCGTAAAAATCTTACAAAAACTAAACTAACACCACCTGTCGACGGAGTTTTATTACAATACAACCGCCTCACAGTTTTGTCGGCCAGTCTTGTTCTTTCAGTTCTACACAATTCTATTAATCAGAATGTTTAGGCCTAATTAGTGTTGGACCTCTACGGTCTACCCCGTGCCCCGAACTCCCCCAGTTATATGATTAAGCAACAGGCTGTTTTTTGGGGTTTAAAAAAAAAAGATTAAAAGTCATCTTAACCAGCATCACACGGGAAAGGAATTTGTTTATTCGTCGTCATTATTTCTAATAACTAAAGTGAACAAACACACAATAATACACTCTACGTTACACGCATTTTATAACAGATCTATAGGCCTATGAAATATAATAAATTTATTTGAAGGCCTATCTATCTGCAACATGGCGATACCTACAACAAGAGAAAGTCTTATAAATTGCTTCTCCGCTCGACACGGTCAGGTAAGAGAACAAAGACCGGGGAAAAGTAAATGGAGTAAAGATATTCAGGCCTGGGCTTGGCCTATCTGTGTTGGATGACGACTTGCTTTGAAAGTACATGATGTATTGTAGCTTGAGCATGGGGCCTAACAATAATAATATTATAATTTTTCGGTCAAAACCCCCGTGTCGTGTGATAATAAATAGGCCAAGGCTGCGAGGCGCACACCGCGCGCCGCGCGCCGCCGCGCATTCATTCATACTTTTTGTTAACTTCCGGTTCAATACAATATGGACGACAAAGAGCATTATAATCAGGTAATTATGATTTATGCAATATCATACAGTTCCAGCAAATCAGGATGTATCCATAAAGTCTCAGCAGAAGTGAGCAAATGAGTTAATCATTGTGTCAAATATTGCTTTTATTATTTAGTGATTCCAAACTGAAACACAACCAGTTTTTATCAAGTTCGGACAGACCGCCGGGCTACTACTGACTACTGCCACTCATTCAGCCTCACTGACTGTCACTGCTACTTCCACTAGCCTAGAAGAAGAGTTCAACTGGACTGTAGGTTAGATCTAGGCCTAGATCTAGATTTAGATCTCCATAATGTTTTATAATCGGGGTTAAGGTTCAGATCAGTCTGACCCACCAGTCCGGTTCGTTTCATATACAATCGAACCTGCCATGACGGCCTCCTGTCCTCCTGTTTAATAGTTAATAATAACCTACGGAATACGGCCACCTGTACAAACGGCCACTTTCCGTTCCCCCAAGCCCCCTTGTGGCATGTCTTTTTTCTAGGCTATATATATAGGCCTATATAATTTAACTGTGTGAAACGGTCACCAGTCCAATGCGGCAGCGGCGACCTTATTTTATCAACCCACGGTCAAATTTACCTGCCTCAGGCAGTTAGGTGTGGTCACTCATTGCCCGATGCTTTGACGGCTTTGTCATTTTGAATTGGCCCCTCACGCTGTGGACGGGCCGTCATAATTCATTCACCTGTCGTTATTGTTAGTCCCTCCAGTGAATGTTTCCTCAAGTTGACCAATGACCAATGGGTAGGCCTAACAATACATTTTCAATTGCTTTTAAGGGAAACATGATCGTCATATAGATCTCTATAACCTAAGCCCCGCCCACTACTTCATAAAATACACAAATCATGTTTGAGGTGACTGGTCAGTTTTGTTTACCTAATCTGTAACAAAGGGACAATGGACGTTGACATGAACTTGCAACAGACGGGTCAGACGCGTCGCTCGTTCTCCGAGTGGTTGTGACCCGCGTGTTTGTTTTACCAGGGCCAGGGCACTCTGTCTTCATCGTCTAACTTTTATAATATTTCGTTTAATTTACCCTTGCACAAAATCAGCAACAATACCAAAAGATAGAACCAAAAAACACAGCAACGAAACAACAGTAAAAATATCTTTTTACACCACCCACCCCCCTTTTTTTCGAAAGAAAACAAAAACCCTTTTGAATTACCCTTATGGCTGTCCTAATCCTGAGATCAGCCCTGGTTTGAACCTCAGAAGGGAATAGTTTGCTTTTTCTTCATTTTGACCAGTCCTGCCTAAGACGACCACCTGTGTTATTTGTCCACTTTTCTCCATGATAATGGGTGGCCGTCTTACACAGGTTTGACAGAATTAACAAATGACATTGGACCTTTCACTTTGTCACTTAGAAAATAAGGTGAAGGCCATTGTCATCATTGTGTAGTCAACATCAAGAGGTGTGTGTTGGTGTGTGTGTTTGTGTGTGTGTGTGTGTGTGTGTGTACGAGTGCATGTAGTTTTTTTGTGTGTGCGTGTGTTGTGAGTACGTGTGTATACGTGTGTGTGTGTCATTGTGTAGTCAACCTTTCTAAATGAGCTACTTTCATTCAAATCAACAGCTTGTTTTAAGAGGAGCTCTGTATGATTGAGTCTGGTCTAGCCAGTCATTAACTTGAGCTCTTGCATTATTATACTAATAAAAGGAACATCTAATGCATCTTCATCTTCCCCATCCCTGACCAGTTTGTGAGTTACTGAGTCTGAACTGTGTGAGTTACACTTCTTCCAAGTAGGCTTGGCCTAAGAAAGTCAAATTACATGATGTACTTGCAACTGAAGTCTGGAGGCGCTAACTTTTACTCAGTTTGAAACTGCATTATGGGTGATTATTTTCCTTTTGGCTGCTTAGTGTAATACTCTGCCCTGGCATGCGCAATTGGAACATCTTACACAGAACGGTTGGTTTGCTGGATTTGGATGCTTTCACCAAGGCTTAGGTTTTAATTTTAAGCTAAGTTGTTAGGATTTAAGATTAGTTGTAATCCTTATCATGAACCAAATCCAGGGTTAGGGCAGTTAGCTGAGTCCAGCAAATGAACCAAACATAAATAATAGTAAACTAATTTTTTGTCTCTCCAGTACTGTAAAATTTACTAGGCGGCACTTGTACAGGTAGTGGTTTGACTACAGAGGGGACTCTATTATCTTTCATCATTGCCTTTCTCACCCTGCACCTGGGTGCAGGCCACGGACAAACACTTTCCACCTTTCTCTATCCTGGGCTAGCCTCTTGATGTTGTTCCGTCCCGCCTTTCTGTACATCAATTTCTGTGATTCTTCTCCAGGTTCCACGCGGTCTTCCCCTTGATCTCTTACCTTGTGGATTCCAATCCAAAACTTTCTTTGTTATGCAGCTGCCACTATTATAATTCTTTATAATGAATCATAATTTTTCAGAAGTAAATCTGTTGCAGAGCTGGGGGACATTAATATCTTTATAATGTATCATGATACTTTTTCAGAAGTAAGTCTGTTGCGGAGCTGATCTTTGCGGAATCATGGAGCCCTACCCAGTGCCGGAGCACGGAGTAATGCCGCCGTCTGGCCCGCCCGGCCCCGGCCCCGGTCCGGGGACTAGTCCCAGCCCCAGCCTGATGCACGAGCAGCACCTACAGCAGCTGCACCAGTCCATACAGCACCAGCAGCAGCAGCTGCACCAGCAGCTCACCTCGGGGACCAGCAGTATCTCCGACCTGATCGGGATGTTACCTCAGACGGCCTCGCTGTCCACGTCCGTCTCCTCACCTACCTCAGAACCTCCACTCAGCCACTCGGTGCCCCCCGCCGGCCTGCCCTCACACATGTCCTCTCCTCACCCCGTCAGTTTGCCAGGTGGGCTGGGTTTTTGTGTCCTTCCTTGATGTTTTTGTTTTTTGCTTACAAGTTGATATCCATGGTGGGTTTGTGTGTGTGTGTGGGGGGGGGGGGGGGGGGGGGGAGGGGTTATTTGTGTGTGTGTGTGTGTAAGTTCAATATTTTTTTTTTGGGGGGGGGGGGTGTTTGTAAGTTCAATATTTTGATCTGTGCTGCTGAGGGGAATACAAAGCTTTCAAATCTATCATTTGAATGGTTGGCTTTTACTGGGGTGTGGTTCACGCCATCTTTTCTTATCATCTATTTTCCTTTTATGGAGATTAATGTCCTTTGATTTATGGATGCTGTTGCATGGTCCCCAAACATGATTTCCTCCTTAATTTAATAGCCCTTTATTGTTATCGTTTTTAACAGTCAAATTGGGCTAGTCTCTACAGGGTAAATCTAATTGTCAGTGTTTCTTTCACCCCAATCGACACAATTTAGATCGCTTGGAAATCGAAATTAAGCTTCCTGTATGCAGCAGCGAAGCTCATAACCACAGACGCCTGTCTATCTGTTGGGTGAATTGTTTGTGTGAATGAAGAGTGAAATCTAACGTTTTCTGATTTCACAGGTTACAGGCCTGACATGCACCTGCCCATCCCTTCTACGTTGTCCTCGTATTCAAGACACACAGATCTCCCGCCAGGGTCTCAAGCTACACCTCAGTACTCACAGGTATATATAGCTGCCACTAGAACGGGAAAAATCGTATTTGATATGTTTTTCAGTGTCTGAGTAGGGAAGTCCTGTTTTCATATCTGGAAAATGTATTATATTCTGCTCACTTTGCTCCCTGGTTTCAGCTGCAGCATCACATTTTTCTCTTATACTTTCCTCTTTGGTTTCAGCTGGTGCATCACTTTTTTTTTCTTTTTATCACTTTTCCTCTTTGGTTTCAACCGGCACATTACATTTTTATCTTTATCACTTTCCTCTTTGGTTTCAACCGCCACATTACATTTTTATCTTTATCACTTTTCCTCTTTGTTTTCAACCGGCACATTACATTTTTATCTTTATCACTTTCCTCTTTGGTTTCTGCTGGTGCATCACTTTTTTTTTTCTTTATCACTTTCCTTTTTGGTTTCAACCGGCACATTACATTTTTTATCTTTATCACTTTCTTCTTTGGTTTCAGTCGACACATTACATTTTTTGATCACTTCCCTCTGTTATTCCAGCCTCCAGACCCAAGCCGCGGAGAAACCAGTATTTCCTCTATTGCCTACACCCGACAGGGAGACAGCTATGTGTGTTCATTGTGTGGAAAGGTGAGTGTTTGTAAGGGACAGTGGAGTACACTTAACTCTTTAAACCCCATTGGACGCTGGGAGCGTCCGATAATAGTAACAACTGTTGCCTTTCATTTAGCGCTAGTTTCTTCTTGATTTTCGGAGCTATTCCCGATTCAAATTTTTTTTGGTATTGTTTTCGCTATTTAGAAGTTGGAGACAAGCTTTTGGGGTTATAATGAGACATAGTGCACCAGGTTTAGGTGACTGTAGAAAAAACTGCGGGGAAACGGTGGAAAAAACTCAGGGTTTTAAAGAGTTAAACCGAAATCTGCAAGACTGCTAGATTTTCTGAAGTCTGGCAGAAGTGTTTTCGGTTTAGAGAGACTGCTCAAATAGCAAAGGAAAAAAGGATCAACTGTGTTTGGTTTATGAGGACACTTCTGTACATAATATGTTTGTTTCTCATCACTGTGTAAGAAAAGGTTTTTTTCTTGTTTATGTTCAGACTTTATGGTATTGCAGAAATTTGGTTTGTGGATTGTGTAAGTTTCTGGTTTAGAATTATGAAGTGGCGATCTTAGATAGGTGGCGTTCTTACGCAGTGTCATTGTTCTGTAAAAACCACAAGAGGTGAAATAGGAAGTGGCTGGTTGTGCAGGTGATTGTCGTATGTGGGTAGTCGTTTGAGCAGGTTTATATATACATATAGTAGAGGGTTTTACGGCGCTCGCAACTGCATAAGGTCATATGAGTGCCAAGGGGATGGGTGTCAACAGAGAAGTCTTTACAGGGAATCAGACTTAGACTGCTCACCTCTCTAGCTTCAACAGCACAAGGTCTTAGAGCAGGTTTGACTGAACTTATTTTGTACAACAGACGTTATGAATGTTCGTAAATTTGTTTTTGTTTTTCAGGTGGTTGTTTCCAAGGCAGCAATAACTCGTCATATACAACTGACTCATGAGAAGAAGAAACCATTTGAGTGCAATATTTGTCATCGGCGTTTTGGTTATAAAAACATTTTAATGGAACACCAGGTAAGATCAGCTGTTTGGAATACTGTGTGTCTGTTTGTATTTTCACTTTTACCCTTTTTGTCCTCTGTTACCATTTTAAAGCGTTGAGGGGAGATCAGGGGCGGCTCTGGGGCTAAAAAGTGGACGTGCACAATTAAGCAATCGCATGCTGAAGATAGTCAAGGGCAAATTTTGCCATACGTGTTTTAAATACAAAGAAAGATAAAACTGGGGACCTGAAAACAAAAGTTTATGCGAAGATTTTTATGCCCATGTTTGAACAGGTAAATGATGTGAATTGAGCAGTAATTTTAGATGAGCTGAGGAAGACTGTACTGTTTGAAGTATTGTGTGGACTGTCTCAACCTGGGTGGTACACACCACTATAAACTGTTCTAGTCGAAGTGTCGTTTTCATCTTCCTGTGGGGGTGGTTGGCGGGTGCTCTGGTGTGGTTTGCTTCTTCTTTCCTATCAAACATCTATCGTTCTTATCTCTCCTCCTCCTTTTTTTGTGTTTGTTACTCTCTTGTACAACCTGTAATTTTCTATACTTTTATGGCCTTATTGTGTTGCAAATGCCGTAAAACTCTTACTGAAACTAAAAAGACTAAAACATCATCCTCGGCTTCTTTCACGCTGTGTTCCATATGTCTGAGATCTGCCTCTAGATCTGGCTCCCAGGTGGATATTTGCCTTTCTGTCTTTCTCCTCCCCATGGGGTTACCATTTTAGGCTTTGCTTTGTCTTGTCACGCTGTGGGCTGCCTTCCTGAGTGTGTTTGTGGGTGGTTGGCAGGTGCTCTGTTGTGGTTTGCTTCTTTCCTATCAGACATCTATCGTCCTTATCTCCCCTCCTTTTTTATGTTTGTTACTCTCTTGTAACACCTCTAATCTTCTGGCGCTCATATGACCTTACGCAGTTGCGAGCGCCGTAAAACCTCTACTAAAACAAAACAAACATGAGTGTGTTTCCAGTCCATTGCTATCTTGTTTTTTTATCTCACAGTCAGTTGGTTGTTGTTTGGTTCTCCTCCGTAATACTACATTATTAAAAATGATGTTTTCCCCAATGATATAGATATTACTATTGTTTTTTAATGACTTTTTCTTCTTTGTTCTTTTTTGTTCTTTTTTTTTTTAGAACATCCACTTTGGCATCAAGCCGTACGCGTGCACGCTGTGTGACAAGCGATTTGCCGCGCGGTCGAACCTGTTCCAGCATCGCCTGCTCCACATGAAGCCGTTCTGCTGCTACATCTGCAACAAGCGCTTCGACCGCGACGACCAGCTGCAGCGACATCTCAAGCTGCACCCGACGGCCAACGTCTTGTCCTGCAGGTCATTCTTCTTCTCATTTCGCTTGTGACTCGAGCCTGCCCAATTTCCTGTATTTTTTTTTTTCTTGTTTTTGGGGTCTTACAACTTGAGTCTGCCATTTTTCCTTTTGAAGGGGGGGGGGTCTTTTTTCACCTTGAGTTTTCTGGGATTTTTTGTTTTTGTTGTTTTATTTATTTTTGTGAGAATGCCATTGTAAATTAAATTATTTTCCTCACAGGATCAATGAAACATTTATTTATTTATTCATTTATTTATTTATTTATTTATTCATTCATTGTGGGTGGTTGGTGGGTGCTGTGATGTGGTTTGCTTCTTCTTTCCTATCAAACATCTATCGTCTTTATGTCCTCTCCTTCTTTTTTATGTTTGTTTCTCTCTTGTAACACCTTTAATCTTCGACACTTAAATGACCTCATTGTGTTGCAAAAGCCTTAAAACACTTACCAAAAAAAATTCATTCATTCATTCATTCATTGATTCATTCATTACTGTACACGATTGCAGCCAGTGCCCGTTTACAGCCACCAACGTGGAGGCCCTGAACAACCACCTACAGGAGAGCCATAAGCTGCTGACCTACGACACGCGCAGACACTCGGCCAGCTTCGACAGCGACGGGGATCCACCCTCTCAGGTCTGGTTTTTTTTGGTGATATTTTTTTTGTTGTCATGTTGGTTATTATCGATCCAGTTCTATTTTTTCCTCAAACGTTGTCTGCTAGCCAGCTTTATCACCCTCTCAGGTCAGATTCGTTTTTTTTGTATTTTTTTTCTTTTTGTTATGTTGGTTATTATCGAACCAGTTCTGTTTTTTTTTCTTCAGACGTTGTCTGCTAGCCGGCTTTATTTAGTATGAATTTTTATAGCACTTGCCTGTGTCTCCCCGCGACACCCACCGGTACAAGCGGAAGAAAAAAGTAAAGTAGTAAAGTAAGTAAGCAACACAAATAGGTCATATATAGTATACACATGCCCAAGATTAGAGGTGCACGAGAGAGCATAACGTTTGTTTCTTTCTTTTTTTAATCATTCATTCATTTCTGCGAAATGGGGTCGGTGGCCTAGTGGTTAGGCTCTTGGACTCGCAACCGTAAGGTCGTGGGTTCGAATCCCGTCAGGGGCCCGGCGTTGTGTCCTTGAGAAAGGGACTTTGCGCAAATTTTCCTCGCTTAACCCTGGTGAAAATGGGTACCCGGCTATAGATAGTGAACGATCTTGTCTGTTTGTTGATAGTGTTTGAGCGCGTGAAATCCGAAGCTTGCACTGTATGCTTCCTCGGAAGCCGAGAATGTTTCTGAGTGTTCTCAGAGGGTCTGCTGGGGTAATAATAGTTGTAAAGCGCATAGAGCATGCTCTTGAGCATGGATATACGCTATATAAAAGCGATTATTAGTATTATTGTTAACGTGCAGACAAAAGAAGGAGAAGAGATCAGGACGATAGCGGTTTGGTAGAAAAGGAGCAAACTAAACCAGTGCTGTATCCCTTTCAGACCATGTTGGCCCTGACAGACGAGGTCTGAAAGTTGCTTCCTAAATAATCTACATTGTATCGATGGGACATAAAAATGCATACTTTTAGAATTTATTTGATCTTTAAACATTACTTCAGTAGCATCTGAGCGTTAACTCTTCTGCATGATGCCATTCGGTAATAATTGCATGTTTGTTCTAATTGTTGTCTTGAGAAGTAGAGGCAATTAGATGTGTGGGGTAGCTTGGGAAGAAAATATCCCCTTAAATCAGTTAGTTTTCTACAGAAGAACAGATGATGTTCCACTGTCTCTGAAGGGTAGTCACATAGTGGTCAGGCAGCAGACTGCTTTACTCCAATTCGGTTGAGATGTTGGTTGAGGGGTACATGCTGTGTCCCAAGTTGGAAGATTATGGATTGATCTCCCCTCCTCAACTCATTGATTGGATCTTTGATAATTAATATTATTAAACCTATACAATGTGGATGGTTGGCAGGTGCTCTGGTGTGGTTTGTTCCTTCTTTCCTATCAAACATCTATCGTCCCTAGCTCTCCGCCTTCTTTTTCGTGTTTGTTACTCTCTTGTAATACCTCTAATCTTCAGCATTTATATGACTTTATTGTGTTGCAAGAGCCGTAAAACTCATAATTAAACTAAACCTAAACCTGTCCAATTTCCAATTTGAATCAGTGGTTAGTTGGAGGGCGTCACTGGTAGGTCCTACTTCTATATTTCCCCTCTGTTGTCTCTGTCTGTCTGTCTTACTTTTTCCCAGCACTAAATGGCCATCATTGTGTCGATGTGCTTCTCTTTACTTAAATAAACAAACCAATTTGGATCTCCAGTTGGAGTGGGTGGTTGGCGAGTGCTCTGATGTGGTTTGTTTCTTCTTTCCTATCAAACATCTAACGTCCTTTATCTCTCCTCCTTTTTTTATGTTTGTAACTCTCTTGTAGCACCTCAAATCTTCGGCACTTATATGACCTTATTGTGTTGCAAGTGCCGTAAAACTCTTACTAAAAAGTAAAATCATCTATCATCCTGATCTCTCCTCCTTTTTTGTGTTTGTAACTCTTTTGTAACACCTCTAATCTTTGGCACTTGTAATTGTATGTCCTCATTGTGTTGCAAGTGCCGTAAAACTCATACTAAAACAAACAACATCTCCTCCTTTTTTGTGTTTGTTATTCTCTTGTAATACCTCTAATCTTCAGCATTTACATGACCTTATTGTGTTGCAAGAGCTGTAAAACTCTTACTAAAACTAAATCTTTATCTCTAGGTGGTGATGTCGTTGCCAAGCCCCACCCTGACCTCCCCGGACAAGTCCCCCGGCCACCAGATGTCCATGGGTGGGCCCAACATGGACACTGAGACCATGCGGCGCATCGACTCGATCTGCTCCCAGCTGGCCACCAGGGGTCAAGGCCACGGGGGCGCCGAGGTCAAGCAGGAGCCGCTGTCCCCCGGGGGCGTGCGCTTCCCTCCGGACGCGTCCCCGCACCACCACTTCCCCCCGGCCCCCATGTCCCCCCGCGACCCGCACCTCAACCAGGGCTCGCCCACCTCCACCATCAGCAACCCTTCGGTGGCGGCCATGATGCCCGGTCGCGGCGTCGGCCAGAACCAGCAGCGGTTGCCGCCCTTCTCCTCGGCGCTGGGCCGCTCTTACTCGAACCCGACGGACCCGGAGCAGGGCAGCAGCCCGCAGTCGATGGGCTTTGGCCGCAAAGACATGTCTCCCATCCCCGGCGGGGGAATGGATCCGCTGCACGGCAAGTTCCATGGTGGTGCCAGCCCGCGTTTCCTGCCTCCTACGCGGCGGGCCAACTCGATGGGGAACATGAACCCCATGGGCAACTTGAGGCACGGCGGCCCCACCCCAGAGCACGTACGCTCCATCGCGGATTCGACCAGCAACCTCACGGAGTTTTTCTCCACCCTTCAGGGCTTGGTTCAGAGGTCGCAGGAAATCCCCGAGTTGAACATCAACATCTCAAAACCCAAGGTAAGTTGTGTCATGACGCGGTGGAATCAGGCGCTCGTCAGTTTTTGGGGCATATGGAGTTATTGATGTTATCTTCTAGCCTGAGTCCTTTCGGAGATGGACGTTAAACTCGGAGGCTCCGCCTCTTAAATAACCTAACAGTGTTGACAGAGGTGTTAAACCCATACCATTTCACCATTTTTTTCTTCTAGCCTGTCCATTTGTTTTGCTTTTGATGAAAAGATATTCAATTTGAATAAATGTTAAAAGTTAAAATTTTTGTACTTGATGGAGGTAGGGTCACCTGGTGTCAGGCAAAATTAGCGAGAAAATGGTCGCCAAAGTTTGGAGTCTTCTAAAACTGTTGTGTTCTTGGAAACTGCAAATTTACATATTTTATGCCTTTGATCTATATCTACGTTTTTTTGTACAATCCACATAAGAATATGTTTTTAAATGTACATAAAAGATGTTGAGCTAAAATGTTAAAAAATTCTATAGGAATTACCCAACGTACGAAAAAAAGTCTGTTTCCTCTATTTATTTATTTTTTATGCACACCTGATAACATTTACTTACTAGAATTTTTTACATTTTACATAAACAATCCAATTTTGTTGTGTCTTTATTGGACGTCGTCAATACAGTCTGTAGTTTTGACGATAAGGATGTGAAAGACACTGACATGTGAAATAAATGTTTGTTTCCTGCCTCCCTCCTTATAGCTCCCCCTCCCCCCTGGGCAATGCCACTAACTTAAGTGTCTTTAAGCCATTCCCCAAAGGGGGGGATATCAACATGTTCTTATCTACAGTAGAATTTTAAATGGGCTGACTAATCAATGTCATGCTCATACTGTGACAGAACAACATAGGGGGAATGCTGCTTTTTCTTTCCTCATCCTCACTATCATCAATTTTCCTGTACTTCTTTTGTATTTATCACTCTCTTGTGAACTGCTATTTTCGGAGTGCCTTGATAGTCAAAGCTGACTTTGTGCTGTTGAGGCTAAAGAGGTGAGCAGAGTAAGCCTGATTCCCCGTTTGGATTTCTGTGTTGACATCCACCCGTTGGCGCTCATATGCTGTTGCGAGTGCCGTAAATCCTTTCCAAGTGGGTGGTTGGCGGGTGCTCTGGTGTGGTTTGCTTCTTCTCTCCTATCAAACATCTATCGTCCTTATCTCCCCTCCTTCTTTTTTGTGTTTGTTGTGTGTGACTCTCTTGTAACACCTCTAATCTTCGGCACTTATATAACCTTATTGTGTTGCATGTGCCGTAAAACTCTTACTAAAACTAAACAATTTCCCCTTCTTCTTTTTTATGTTTGTTACTCTCCTGTAACACCTGTAATCTTGTGGCACTCATATGACCTTATGCAGTTGCAAGCGCCGTAAACCTCTACTAAAACTTTTTAAAATACTCTTGTAACACCTCTAATCTTCCGCACTTTATGACCTTATTGTGTTGCAAGTGCCGTAAAAAACTTACTAAAACTATTAAAAAAAACCCCAAATACCCTTACTAAAACAAATCCCTCTTCAGATGACGAAAGAAGTGGGCGTGCAGCACAACAGCAGCACCCTGCCCGGCGAGCCTCCGTCACTGGAGGAGCTGCTGGTCTACTACGAGTCTCAAGGCCGCCTGTACCGCTGCCAGCACTGCCGCATCAGCTTCGAGGAGCGCGGCCTCTACTTCCTGCACAAGTCGCTGCACGGGGAGATGAGCCCCTGGCAGTGCAGCATCTGCCACAAGATCTGCGCCGACCGCAACGACTTCCACCTGCACTTTGTCAACCAGCAGCACCACAGCAACGAGCAGCCCACAATGCACTGAGCGGAGGCCTGTGGTGTTTTTGTGTTTGGGCGGACGGGTGGTCGGTTGGCGGGTGCTGCTCTGGTGTGGTTTTTGCTCGCTCCTTCTTTCCTATCAAAACGTCTGTATCTATCTGTTCTGTTGTCCTCCTTATCTCTCCTCCTCCTCCTCCTCCTTTTCTTTGTACTTTACTCTCTAGTATTACTGCTCTGGTGTGGTTTTTGCTCGCTCCTTCTTTCCTATCAAACATCTTCTATATTTGTTGCCCTTATCTCTCCTCCTCCTCCTCCTCCTTTTCTTTGTATGTTACTCTCTAGTATCACTTATAAGTCTTCGGCACTTGTGTTACTTGTTAGTGTTACAAGTGCCGCAAAATCCTTACTAGAGCTAAAATGAGTGGTGCATTGGTAATGATCGTTACTTCTGCCTTCTTCTTTCTTTAAAAAAGTAATTTTTTGCTCTTCTCCTGAATTGTGAATTATCATATGCAGGCTTGCCTACAACAATCCTTAATTTTGCGGGACAATCACATTCACGATGCCAACACGAGTCCCAATGGCTGTAATAATGTTTTGTTGTTTCCGTAAACTGTTGATGTTACGACGTTGGGTCTCCCTGGTTGGGTTTTGACAAAGTCGGCAAGCCTGTTCATGTTTTGAGAATGTAGGTCGCGGTGTCCTCAGAAGCGCACATGGGTGCAGAGATTATAAAGCGTTTTGTGGTCGCTGACCGTCACTCCTTATAATTTCTTACTTTTCACGACAATCAACAGACCACGCACCGAAAGATTTTGTTTTATGGGCGTAGTACATTTAAACAGTTTGCCGATGATAATCTCCGAGTACTTTAAATGGATGAAATGATTATTGAGTGTGAACCTCACACGCACACACACACACACACACACACGCACACACACACACACACACACACAAGAAAAGACAGTTCTTATATAATGCACAAGAAAACCAGTTCAACTACAAAAGGAAGCACTTTCTCAGCCATGCATTGATTATGTATATATATATATACACGTAAGGAGAGCAGTGAAGACAAAGACATTTTAATACTTTTTGCTGTTACTATCATGTTGTGTTCAATTACAGAGTGGGTTGTACGGAAGCTGCCAAGGCTCAACCCAGTTTTCTGTGTGGTCAGATTTTTGGTTTTTATTGGAATTTCAAATACGGGTGGTTGGGCGGTGCTTCGACCTGGTTCCCTCCATTCTTTTCTATTTCTATCAAGTGTCCATTGTCCTTACTCGTCCCTCCTTCGTTTCTTTGTATGTTGCTCTCTTGTAACACCTCTGGTCTTCGGCACTTATACGACCAAATTGTGTTGCAGGTGCCATAGAACTCTTACTAATGTCTCAGAAGTGTGACCAAGTCTTGTTGTTTCCTCTGCTATTTATTACGGTGTGTTCAACGACTGAGTGGGGTATGTGTCGAGAGTTGTCTCGATTTAATCCAGATTTCCGTGTTGTCCGAGAGTTTTTTGGTTTATATTTGAACTTCAGATTTATTTTTCATATTTTGTGTCTTCTATTGTTTTTTGTTGGCCGGCTGTCCAAATGTACTGGGCCCAAAGTTTTGGAGAAAAAAAATGTGGGTTTTTTAATCTGTGGTGTAGTTTGCATGTGCTCAAGAAATATTTTGTTGAAATTCAAATTCTGAATGCTTAAAAAAAAGCACCCCCTCACCCCCCCAAAAAGATACCCAATGTTGGTGCAATAAAGTAAGAATGAAACAGTTTTGTTCTCTCTGTCTCTCTCCAGACAAACCTTTGTTTTGTGGGTTCAGTACCTTTGAACAGCTTGCCGTTGTTATTTGTAAAGAAAATCTCTGCGTTCCACTTTCTCTTTCCCGAGAGAGAGTTTTTGTGGGTGGTGGCTGCTACAAGATTTTTGCCATTATTCATTTTCTCTTTTGGTGGAGATTATTAATTTTCTCTGTTGGTGGAGATTTTTAATTTTCTCTTTTGGTGGAGATTTATTGATTTTCTCTTTTGGTGGAGATTATTAATTTTCTCTTTTGGTGGAGATTTTTAATTTTCTCTTTTGGTGGAGATTATTAATTTTCTCTTTTGGTGGAGATTTTTAATTTTCTCTTTTGGTGGAGATTTTTAATTTTCTCTTTTGAGATTATTTAATTTTCTCTTTTGGTGGAGATTATTAATTTTCTGTTTTGGTGGAGATGGATTAATTTTCTCTTTTGGTGGAGATGATTAATTTTCTCTGTTAGTGTGCTGTACTTTCTGTGAGGTCGGGCTGACCGACCTTGGTGTAGGAGTTTGTTTGTTTGCTGTTGGAGTTGATGCTGGTGCTAAGGGAAAACAAAAGTTGATGGGCCGATGTCATTGTCAGTATTCGTTGTGCCTGGTGGGGGTTGTCGAGATTTCTGTTTGCTGTCGGATCCTACGTTGGATCTGTCGGTCCTCAGTAGCATCTGTCGTTGGGTCCTCCGTTGGGTCTGTCGGGTCCTCCGTTGGGTCTGTCGGGTCCTCCGTTGGATCTGTCTGTCCTTTGTTTGATCTATTGGGCTGGGAAGAGCACTTTTATCACTTGGGTCAGGAGCTGGTATTTTTTGTGGGTGGTTTGTGGATGCCACTGGTAGGTTCTACTTCTTTTCTTTTCCTACGTGTTTTTTTGGGGGGTTTTTTTCCCCCTGTCTTTTCTGTCTTGCTTCTTCCCTGCACTGTGTGTGTGACCGTTATTATGTCGATATGCTTTTCAAACAAAACAAAACAAAATGGGTTTTCTTCCAGCCAAAGGGAGCTTATTCTGTATGCGTTGGTGCTTGAATGTCTAATGTTTTACATTGAGGTGCTAAACTGGGAGGTAACTTTGACAAAAGTGAAGAAAATCCCAACTCCCCCGTCCCTTTTGTTAACCCACTGTGCAAATGTTTAGTTTACGCAGGGGAAAGGGAATAAACACGCGTTTGTTGTGTAGTGGTTACACGTTTGGCTGCAGCACACAGGAGACTGGAGTTTCGATTCCCGAGTCGGGAGAATATAAAATAAATGTGAGGCAGTGTGATGAAATCGGGCGCTAGTCAGAAATAATGAAAGTAGTGAAGAAACTGGCATTTTTCCTCAGGTTTGTCAATTTTTATCGAATTTGTTTTTTTGGCTCAACACCTTTCGTGTCCATTTAAGAATACATTTCTGTGTGGATTGTACTGAAGAAACATCAATTAAAGGCACAAAAAGTGTAAACTTTCTGTTTCCACGGGCACTCAAGCTAAGAAAATAACTATACTTTGTCGGCCTTTTCCTCTCTCATTTTACCTCTGAGACTAGGTGACCCCCACTGACTTCATTCGCAAAAATCTCGACTTGTATTCAAGATGAAAGGATATTTTTTAAATCCAAAGCAAGATAACTGAACAAGCTTTAAGATGATACCCATAGCTTCACATGCCCAAAAATTGACGAGAGCCGGATTCCACCGCGTCGTGACACAAATAATTGATCAAGTATCTCGGGTCTTTCTGCCAGGCCGTTATATATCTTACCCTGGGTTGGTCCTCACCACAGGCAGAGTCGGAAGCCCACCACTTTGATGAACCAAATTGTGTTGATTGGGCCATAAAAACATGTACATTAACTCTTTATCTCCGAGGGGGGTAAACCGACTAAGCCGGGGGCCCTTTTTTGGTGCTAAATCTGAAAACGACAGAAACATCTTTAAATGGGTCATTAAATCGAAACTAGCAAACCTATTTTGATAGTCTTTCATCTAATGAATGAACTTCCAGTATAAGAGACCTGTTTTTGGCAATTGCCGAAAAGAAACTTGATGTCGAAGTCGTCGTAAAGGCATGTGCCCCGCACAGTGGTTCCGACCGCAAGACGCTGGGAGCGGCTTGCCGGAGATGAGTTAAAAAGAGAAAGGGAATTGCGAGACATGTAAACTATCGCACCAAGAGTTGCGCAGGCAGGCGAAGGTCTTTTCTTTCTTTGGTTATATATTGCTTGTCGTAGTCCCAAGAGGGTTTAAGACAGTGGTGTCCGGTTGATGTAGAAAACACTTTCTCACTTTGCGACCGTTGATGTGAGCATGAGCTACTTCTCCCCCCCCCCCCCACTCAGTGATGCGCGCACACACACACACACACACACACACTCAGTGATGCGCATTCGCGCACACCCCCCGCCCCCCTTTCTTGCCCCTGATGATGCTGTCTTTCAGTTGCTATATACACCTAGATACTGGACAAATGGGGGAAAAGCTGAGTTATTTCGCTATTTTATTGAAAATAACTGTTGTTGTGTCAAGTTGTTTTATTTTTCAATGTTCAAATGAACCTCTTTTGTTTATCAGTCATAAGGTTGTTGATTTTGTATCGGATGAAACTTTGTGAAGATTTTTAAATCTGGAGATTGTGTCAACAGAGCATTCATAAATTACAATTTTTTCTTCTCTCCCCAGCAACTATCTGTTTGGCGTTGTTATCTCCTCTCCTCTCTAACGTTCATTTGTTATATTATATATCTCTATCATATGTTCATCTCTCTCTCTCTCTCTCTCTCTCTCTCTTCTCTCTCTCTCTCTCTCTAACTCTCTCTAACTCTCTCTCTCTATCTCTCTATCTTCTCTCTCTCTCTCTCTCTGTCTCTCAGTTTATCAGTCAGCTTTCAGTGCGTTACATACTCTCTCTCTCTCTCTCTCTCTCTCTCTCTCTCTCTCTCTCTCTCTCTCTCTCTCTCTCTCTCTCTCTCTCTCTCTCTCTCTCTCTCTCTTTTTTTGTGTGTGTGTTGGAATATAATCTGAGTGCGCATAATAACTGGTTTATGTTTAACCATACTCAGACAGAAGGCACTCTTCACCGTCCTTTGTGTTTTTTTTATAACTCGACCATTTCGGTTTTACTCTTCTTTACGCGAGTTTTTTTAAAAAGTGTGATAGATTCCGAATGGCCCTTCGCTTGTTGTTAGGGGGGGGGCTTTGTTTCTCAACACTAACTAAAAACATCAGTAGTTGTTGTTGCTGATCTGTTTGTTTGTTCGTTCTTACTGTGTTGACATTCTTTCTGTGTTGACATTCTTACTGTGTCAACATTCTTACTGTGTCAACATTCTTACTGTGTCGACATTGTTACTGTGTCGACATTCTTACTGTGTCGACATTATTACCGTGTCGACATTCTTACTGTGTCGACATTCTTACTGTGTCGA